AGAAGCTGCCGAAGGGGCTGTCTGCACCTCTAAGAACCAGCAAGAACAGGGCTTCCACTCTGACTCCATTTGGGTCACGGAGTATCTCTTATGAGTAGTTGTCAGCTGAAGATCTGCGCCAAAATCATCATTTCTCCCCCCTATATGTTGCTTTATTTTGGCCCTGGGCCCTCAGATCCCCAGCGCAAAGTTTAGTGGGTTGAATACGGAAGCTGCGCACTAAACCAACCAAAAAGGATCTAAAAGGCTACAAGCAAAAACGGATGGCTTCTTGAACAAAGGTGGAAACCGTTTCTTCGTTGTTGTTTTCTGTTTTCTTCTTATATATCTATATATGATGTGTGTACGTGTTTTTTTTTTCTCCCGCGAGGGCTCTGCAGCAGCTCCGGCTCGTTGAGCAGCTGCTCTGCCAGGAAGAGCAGAGACCCGAAGCAGGCAATGCCCAGAAAGGACAGCGAGCTGCTGATCTTCCCGCTCGCTTGCCGCAGCGTCGCCTGCCAAACCCATTGAGACTCTTCCCGGAGGACTCGAAGGAATTGTTTGATTGGCCGGATTGGTTGAGACTTTTCCCGGGCTCAAAGGATTTTGTGTTCTTTTGGCCGGATTGGTTGAGCCTGGAAAGAAGAACCGTTGACCCTTGGGGACTTCTTGGCCGGAGTGGGGCTGACCAAAGCCTAGGACTGCTTTTTGCCGGATTGTGGTGGATTAACGAACATGGTTGAGACTCAAATGTGGAGGTCACTGATGTTTCAAAATTGGCAAAACCCTTCCCTGAGGATTTTTTTGCCGGAGTGTTTGAGAATCTTAAATGGCCATGGGTCAAAACCCAAATCGTACCCCCGGTGAACATCCCAATGCCCGCTAAAATAGGTTCTAAAAAAGGGTGGTGCACCTACCCCAAAATGGTACCATTGGCTTTGACATCCACAGCCAAATGTGCAGGGTCACTCATGTTTCAACATTGGCAATTTGTGGACTCAAATGTGCAGGGCAGTGCAATCGTCGAAGAATCATGTGATCTGGTCTCGCAGCAGGTCCGCAACTGGCAAAGGCCTCGTCAGCACCCCAACCCGGGCTTGTTCCCGAAGTCGCAAAGCTTACGGTCAGGCAGGACCTCTTTCAATCAAAGTTGCAACAAAGATCCTGACATGGGACTTGAAGCTCGACTCCAAGAAACACCTCCCAAGCAAAACATGCTCCAATCATGGGTTGAAGCCCACTTGAATCGCAAAGCAAACTCGCTCCATGCCCAAACCTTGCCGGCGGTGACCACAAAATGGCAGCGCCTGCACGAGGTTCCAGTCTTCCAAGGCTTTCTCCATGTCCATGTCTCGGAACAGCCGAAGCCCAAAGCTGTCCTCACAAAACAAACACCCCGGCGACGCAAGGGACGCGTCCGGCGCCGCCGGGCGTCGCACGGGCAGACGTGCCCAAAACAAAAACAACAAAAAAAAAGAGGGTGCACTGCTTTGCACTGAGAACCCTTTTGCACCAATGTGTGCTTGCAATATGCTGAAATGCTGGCATCTGAGTCCTTAGACCTTGCACATGTGCGGGCTCAGCAGTTTCTCCCAGGATAAACCACCCCGAAGACTAAAGAGCAATGAGTCGTACACGACACGCCTCTCTGGCATGCCTTGACAAACAAGCAAACACATCTTTCACGCAGTGGGTTGGGGGTTGGCTTCCCCGGCTGCCTTTGCTTCGGACAATCACGTCCTATTGGATCAAAAGGCGCCAAAGAACTGGCGAGCTGGCCGGGTCCGGCTTGCCAGTATTCTGAACCTTCGGTCCAAGCGGCAATAGCGAGCTCCAGGCCACAGCAGATGTGGAGCTGACAAAAGCAGACCTCAGAAAGCCCTGGTCCAATGGCAAATGCTCATGGAGACAAATGGTGTGCAACATTTCATGAATTCCACTGGTCCCAACTCCTGGCTGGTTTGGCCCAGACGTAAGCTCGACAGCGAAAGCCGAGTGCCGAGTGCCGAGTCTGCGCCCAGGTGCCGCAGCGACTCTTAGCACCATCAGGGAGAATGCCAGGCCCGGCAGGATGTTCAAAGCACCACCTCAGAGTCAGCCAACGCCCGGCTTCAACTTCACTTCCCAACATGATTGGACCTAAGGGTTCAATGCTCCCAAATGCAAAGCCAACAACGACATGAGCCAGGGTCAAATGTGTGTACGTGGGTTTTGACTTAGTGACCGCTTACCCTCTGCGTAACCTCTCCTTTGTTTGTCAAATATCACCGGACCAGAGAAAACCTGGAGATTGAAGCGCCTCCATCCCATCAAAGTGACTCTCTGCGAACAGGGTTGCAGGCAGTGCACATGTCATGAGAGAAATAGCGGCGTCTTTCCAGACAACCCACCTGAGTCACAATCAAAACCCGGTGCAAAAATAGTCGACCCAGAACCATGTAAGGAACTAAAAAGGCGGATATCCGCAGCTATTTCTCTGCCCCTGACTAACCTGCATCTACCGAGGTTTTGAGCACGTGGCTCACCTTGGATGTTGGTGAGTTGAAAGAAAATTGGACCCAATCCGCGTCACCAGGCACCCAACTCCAGACATCAAAGTCAATGGCCTGCCTGCGGTTGCTTGGCCGTAGCGTACGTCTGTGGTGACGATGCTGGCGATAATTCTGCACGTCCTCAAGACACTCCAGCTTTTCTAGGGGTTTGCATTCTTTCCAGGGATCCTTCTTTCTAGAAAACCACCGAAAAACCGAACGAAGTCTGAAAAGAATGGGGAATCAACCCGTTTTGCATGACTAATGAGAGCCCTGAACCGCCTCATCGACACCAAACTAAAGTGTTCATCTCGTGGCACCCCTACGAACCGATCATGTCATGTGCCATGAAGATACCAACCCAGCTATATGCAAACTGCTCTTGATTAAAATGAATCAGATTGGCTGCAAACTACTCTTGATGCACCACACAAAATAGCTTTGCTGCTTTTTGCAGTGAAGGGGGCCACGTTGCCTCCCACTGCATCGTAACCGTAAAGAACGGCCTTCACGATTGCTGCAAACGCCCCAAGTTGCCTGCCTTAAACTTTGACAAGAAATGGGGGTGTTCCATACAGAATCTCTAGCATAGTTGCCTCCGCCAATGGGAAACAACTACGTCCTTGACATTCTGCTGTATGTCAGGCCTTCTTTTTTTCCGATTGGCAGGACAACCTGGAATGAGTTGCGTATGCGCAAGGCCGCCGCATGTCCAGTCTCCCATCCAACACTGGTTCCTGCAGTCTGTTGCTTGGTATTTCGATATACACGTCCTATGTCCTTTTCTCTGGGGACAAAGGGGGCTCTGGGCCTATCAGGTAGGACGCGAAGCATGCTCAATTGTAAGATTGCAGTTACCCAGCGCTAAAGTGCACGGCAGGGGGAAATCATTTTTGGTGGCTGTAAAGGAGAGAAAAGTCTTCAGATCCGAGGCAAAGCCCGAGGGGGTAAGGACCAACATTTTGGCTAGCTATTAGTGGAAGCCCGATCATCCCTTGCAGCCAGGGAGCACCATGCCCAAGTAAAGTCCAGCCACTTCACAGAGCCGTACCAATGAGACGTTGTGCCAGTCCGCCCTTGGTGAAGCGAAAGCACCACTTCTGTGTGGGATGTGAGGGTGGAATGTGTTTCTTCGTACGAGTCTGTTGAAAATGAGGAGGAGACTGCTGGGGGAAATGGAAACCAAGCAAATGACAAAGGAGCATCAATCCGCTCCTATATGACTTAACCCGGATGAAGTCGTTGCACTCCAAGAGAGGTGGTTGCTCGCATCATGTCCTGCTTTGCACGTTGTCTAAGCATGCAACTGAACGACACCGGTGTCATAGCAATTGCATGATTGCGTATTTCTCCAAACCATGACTGTCAAGCAAACACTTTTCTCAAACAACACCTCTTCGATCTCAACATAGTTCTGAGTCCTGACCAGCTATCTGCGCCCAAGTTGAGCGTAGGTTGTGCAACTCCGAATCATCAATTGGTCTTCGTGGCCACCAAAGGTCCACCAATTCTTAATGTGGCAAGCCGTCCAATCTGACAGTCACCTGAGCTGCCGCCAAAGACCGACCGCTTCTCCAAACACTTGCCCGATGCCTACAGGCACCTGTATTGTTCCTTCAAGCCTGCCTAGCAGCTGCCAAACCTAGCATACCCTGACCTGCGCCTGGAATCTCCTGAAAGAATTGGGGATTTCTGAGTGCAGCGAACACTCCGGCGACCGGGATTGCCAGTTCAATCCACAAAGAGGACATCATTCCTGTGATGCTGCTTTCTTCCATTTGCTTAAGCCCCCTGGAAAAAAGAATCCAGTAGTGATGGATTCCCTTTCAAACCAGCCGGGAAAAAAGAAGAAGTTCTTGAGCACATGGATGCTTTCGGGCGCAAACCCAGATCCTGCCCAGCCGCAAGAAGCCCGACTCTTCTGCGTAGTCATCTAAGCCTCAAGCCCCCCAGAACCCGAATGCCACCCCTTGACAGGCTCAAGGAGCTCAAGCACAAAAATCCCGCCCAGGATTCGTGAATTCCCACGCTGGTTTTCACGTGTTTTTGACAAACTCCATGGATATAATTTGGATATAATTTGGATATAATTTGGATATAATTTGGATATAATTTGGATATAATTTGGATATAATTTGGTGTTTGCTGTAACGATACAACTCCAATGCATTGCAACTTCATACCAATGCATAACATTATTTGGTATGAACTTGTCGTGACCCGAGTCTGCTGGACTGCAAACTGCTCGGCCGAAGGGGGCCGCCGCAGCCTTTGCCAATAACTTCAAAAAACACACTCGACGCTCTTGCACCTTCAGTGCATTGTGAACATCTGAGCAGAAACAGCACACAAGCACGAACCCTTGCGGTCTCAGACCTTGTCCAACCAAAGATTGAGCTGACAACTGTGTTGGCCACAGCGGCCATCACACTCACAAACACAAAGGCAATCACAAGCACAAAGCAAACAAACACAACGGACGCTTCAATGACTCAGTGACGCTCACGCGAAGTCAGTCCCACATAAGACATGCGAAGCCCTATCTTTCTGTGAGCGATAAATCCCTCTCTTTACTGACAGCGAACCATACACAACAGCGGATGATTGTGCCTCACAGGCCATAGCATCTGGATTGCCAACACATGCATGTTGGATAGGCATACGTGCACATATAACATGTGTATATATATATATATATATGTATTTGATATGTACTACATATTGTACATCTACCAACAACATGGCCCCAAACTGGGGGACACACATGTGCTGGAGAGAGTCCCGAGCAGCCTTGGCTCTTGGTTCTTGGTCCCCGAGCTTTAAAGTGCTTGAGGTGGCTTTCAAGTGTCTTGCAACAATGGGTTGAACATTGACCCTGACGGAGTGCTCTTTCTTGAGGCCTGGACAAAAGTAGACCGGAGGCAGTATCCACTATATATATATATATATATATTACCGCGGACAATGTTACTTACAGTTGGTTCAATTTGGTAGGTCTATTGTGACAAAGGGGACACTGGGTAGCCCCTGTCGCCAAATGAATGCAAGATGGCTCATTGTAGATCAACATTCCGAAGCTGCACACTGGCAGCAGTTCATTGGGTTGCAAGATTCCCGGCGGTGGAAAATAATTCCATCCGACGATGCTTTTCTCTCAAAGCAGCCCTGTAGATTCCCCAAACCACTGGCCCTTTGGCCTTTTGGGCCCCTTCGCCGAGCAGCGTCTGTCCTTCGGACCCAGCAAGGAGGTAATGCCGGCCCTTCTTAGGCTCAGCCTAAGTGATCGCCCTTGGCAGTTTACGGTTTGGGAAGCGGCTGTTTGCAGTTCCTTCACCATCCAAGTGCTTTCAGCGATAGCAAACAAACCCGGTCTTCCGGTGATGAAGGACAGAATGCCAGACCTGGCTGAAGCTTCATGTCCGGCGAATACGGGCGACTCGTCCATGTATCCCTTCAGCAAGGCGCTGGAGGGAGCTTTGCTCAACAACTCGTGCATTGACACGATGCATCTGATTCTAGACCCAGAGGGTCCAAGTACTTCATGAGGATGGCTTTTGGGTGGTAAAAAGGGGTCTAAGTACCTCCTTAGAAGGTTGGACCCTCTGGGAGACAATAAATGTTTCTGCTTAGATCTGCTCAAAGGCTTGGTTTGTCAATTGCAAGCATGCATCGGGCTAGGTTTTAGTTTGAACCTGAAGCTAAGCTGCACTGCTTCACGTCTTTGTCGTTTGGACATATCTCCACCACTATGTCTGCCGTCGCAACGAGTTGCAAGCAAGTAGAGTGTGGATTGAGGACTCGTAACTGTCGGGACCAGTATCAACTGGTTCTGTTTTGCTTTTTCACAAATGTCAACTACCAAAAACTACATCAACAAGCTGCTCAACAGTTTTCAATCTAGGAATGGTTTACACAAAACAGACCTTCCAATCCTGCACATTGCTTGGATGCATGTTCCGAGCAATCAGAAAGGTATTGCCTTTGATGCAGAGGGAGAGCATAGGTGGTTCAGCATGGTGAAGCAGCACGCAAATGCTGCCCGCAAAGTGCAACGAGCCGACAAACGCCGCACCCAGCATCAAGGGGCTTTGCATACTACAATAGCTGTTGTTGGCACTCGGATAGAACATCCATGAGAGGGAGCCTACACCCAAGGCTTTCCGATGCGACACGATTGAAGACAGGTTGCTTATATATGTCTTGCGGAGTCATGCAAGCTACAGCCTGCTCACACTTGCGAACAAAAACACAAACATAATATGCTCTATGGAATATGCAAAAAGCAATATCAACTCGTCTAAACCAATGTTCATTAAGGACATGCACAAAGCCCTGATCCTGCCCAAAGACAAGCAATCGAGCAAATACATATGTATACTCGTATGTACACATATATATATATATATATAAATATATATATATATATATCATACACATGTGTGTACAAACACTCGTCCGCTGGCGCTCACATGCGCACAACTATGCGAAGGTAGCCAATTGAATTCTCACAGGTCTTGTTCTACAATACGATGCTGATGAGCATGCAAGCAACAAACATGTCAAGCTACACAGCACTGGTGCAATAGAAGGCAAAGGTTTCAGGTCGAATAGTCCAACAGGGATCCTCACATTATACACCTGAACATGGCCTTGTAAATGGTGGTGTCCCTTGATTCTGGTGGAAAAATAGCCATGTTTCAAATGGTTGCAAAATGGAGATCTTTTAAGGAGCCCTGTCGAATAGTCCAAGGAACGAGGCGATCACACCACCAGCCATATAACACACGTAGGTGGTGGAGACACGAGGATCGGCGCCAGCCATCACCACGTTGGTGTAGACCACAAAAGCGGAGAGGGCGACCTCAGCTACTCAGTTGCCCAAAGGACCTGGAACTAAAAGGTTAACCTTGCGGGGCCATGACTAAATATGGACCAAAATGGGAAAACCAAAAGGTTGATTCACTTTGAACAGCTGAGTCATAGTTTCTAGGCTTTCTTGGGGGCCAGGGCAGCAGACGGTTGCTTCTGAAGTGCTTGCATATGTTCACATGGTCATGTGTATCCAAGGATAGGTCCGCGGCTCTCTCGGTGCAACTTGATTGCAAGAACAGAGCTTGGTGGTGCTATTGCTGGCTAGTCATTTATTGATAAAGGCAATACATGCATCACCAATGCGAAGTTTTGGCACTGTAAGACGAATCCATGTGGCAAACGGTAAAGTCTGCTGAAAAGTATAGCTTCGCGGATGACTTGGGAAGGGAGTTTCCAAAGACAAGCACCCTTCCAAGCCGCGGCAAAGACTTTTGGCAATGCCAAGAATCTGGATACAGGATGTTGAAGAGCGACAGCAAGCGCCAGATCAAGCTATCCTTGTAGTCCTGGGCGGCAAGCCCCGAATCGTTGAGTCCTCTGCCAGGGACAGTTGGCTGCACCGAGCTTTGTGATAAAATGAGCGAGGTGAGGCCCCCGTATTGCTTCACTGGCCGTGCTAAATCAACTTCCAGCTCATCGGAAGTGTTCGGAAACCAGACGCTAGCATCATCCGGATCTGGCCCTTTGGCCCGTGTGCACTTTCAAGCGTTGGCCCCAGCCTGCATGGGGGGATGGAGCCTGCTGCCTGGGGGGATGAGCGAGGCTTCTGCGTGATTTAGAGCCGGGACTGGTTTGGGCTCACCGCTTCGGGCGACTCACCAAATTCTTCCAAAGCTCCAGGATGCCCACAACAGTGAGCAGAATTCTGCCTGGAGTGCTCAGAGCGGTGCTGCTAGGGCCCACGGAGATTTCCTGGCGGGATGGAATGATGGCCTTCATACATATATTATCAAGTACGGTTTGAAAGTAGCTAAAATGCATTCCGTTGACACACGAAATGTTGCACTGCTTTCGCTACGGGTTTTCAAAAAGCCTTGCCTTCCAAACGTGGTCATGGGTCAAAAACCCGTATCCCCAGTGAACATCCCAATCTCCACTAAAATAGACTAAAATGGGTGTCACCTACCCCAAAATGGTACCATTGGTTTTCACCCACAGCCACATATGGTGCAATGGCCAAAATCCAGGACTGCGGCTTGTGCAGTGGCAAAATGGATCGAGTTAGGACAGGCGCTGCAGGTATCTCTGGCTTCAGCAACTGATCATACTCTTCGAAATGCGTGCTTTGTTCAATTAATGCCAGGCAGCCTTGGATCATAAGGGATGTGGGAAAGTCAGGCGTTGATGTTTCAGAATGCAAGTGCTGAATAGCGCGGTGAAAACACCTTTTCAAAGGCCGTGGGACACCTTGAATTGTGTGGCACTTGGAATATAATCATAAATCCTGCTCGCAATATGACTAGGTCCTCCAGTAGAGAGAAGGGTCCTTTTTTTCTGTAGTCTATTTTAGTAGGGGAACCCTCCCCCAATCAAAGGGTAGAAGGGCACTACTGGGGAACCTACATGATATTGAACGATGAAGCAATTGATAGTTGGTGCTGAATGGAGCAAGCGTAGCTGGCGTTCCACTGTCTAGCCTCACGTCATGCTGGCAAACATGATTCAATTAATGACTCTGGAATACGAACATACCCTTTTAGAAGAACAGGAACCTACGTGGGAATTTAGCTGAACGTACCCCCAACCAAAGCTCAACCAATTGACGACACCACAGGTAGAGAGACCTCGTGACAGCGGTGCAGCAACAAGCTCATTCAACACATCCTTTTGCAAATGCGCAGAACAAAAGGCTTTCGCTTGTCTCTCCTAGGTCCTTCAGTAGAGAGGTTAGAATAAGGGTACCCTTTCTTCTGTAGTCTATTTGAGTGGGGAATCCTCCCCCAAAAAAGGGTAAAGGGGTACTAGTGGGGGACCTAGTCTCAGATCACGCTTGCCGTGTTCTGAAAGTCAACTCAAGCGCTTCAGCCAACTCGGAATCTGGAGCGCCGGGAATGTTAATGAACACTGCGTGTCACCACTCAAGTTTGGGTATTGGCCGCCGCCAAATACATTATCCTGAGTCAACCCCACACCAAGCAGCGTAAAACCATCCACATCTCAGCGTGGTTTGGCGGGGTTCAAGAAGAAAGCCAGGCGTGAGCACCATCAATCGTTGGCGCATTTCACCTACCTTGTTTTTTCGGCATGTTCCGCGAAAGCAGGCAGAAATGCGTTGTTGTGTGGGAACCTTCTTGGCTTGCGAGTTGGCCCCTCCTGAAGGCACGTAGGCATCAATGCCAGCTGTGTGCTTATGATGGCATGATTTGCTGCACAGCTTGACTGATCATTGAGGCAGAGCAGCTGCTTCAAATACTCCGTTCTACGCTTTGGTCAACATGGATGCCCGTGTTCTACATGCCTTTTTTTTAAACTGTCAGCAAATGGCCGCATGCTATGTCAAACAATGTCAAACATATTGTCCGGCCATGCACCCATTCCACGCAAAACCTGGGCCACATCATCCACAACAACGCTAAGGAGATTCCTGGTCGTATTGTTTGCCACACGTGCATATTTTGTCTTGACTCATTTGCCAACCTTCAGCCGTGTGCTTCACCTCGCCCTCGCGCCCTCGCGCCTCGTCCGAGAGCTCAGGGCTCATTACCGTGTTGAGAGTTCTGGAATCTTTGGGCTCGTTGTTTTTGTTCACCTGTCCGAGAGCGGTGCTGTAGCTCCACTGTCTAGACATGCAATGCCCAAAGCAGCTGCAAGCCAAATCAAGACCACTCTCAAAAAACAAATCTCTGTCTTTGTCTGGCGAAGCTCTTGAATATCCAACCCGGCCCTTCGGACAGGCCGCTAGCTCCGCATCGTAGTTTTCCCGCAGCTCTTCCAAAGACACCCGGCGGCAGCGCTCAAGCATGAGCCTGATACTACAAAAGGCGTGCAAGAATTGGACATGAACATCACCATTGCATTTTGTGGTGGGGGATCCCAACCCCTTCTTTAGGCATGTGTAACTTAAACATGTGGGTCTGGTTTTTCTTCGTGGGGTTCCTTTTTTGGGGCTGGCTGTAGAGGGAAACCAGACAAACACCATCTCCTTTTCTTTTTGTGGGGGTGTGGGGGGGGGGGGGGTGCGTGCTTATTACGATCTCAAAAGCAATTTGGCGAGACTACTTGGAGGACCCAGCGAAATGCCGCTATCTCCGGAGCAACTCAACAAAACACATTTGTCCTTGCCACAATCCAGCTTCTGAAGATTCTCGTGCCAGTGATATGGTATCGCTCAGGTTAAAGCACAAAGAAGGCGTTCTGAAAAGCTTTGACCATGCTTCATGTGACCGTGATCTTCCCAGCATCATACTAGCACAAGAAACAATGCTGTTCAATTGATTGGCAGGCACGAGTACCTTTTGCAAGAAGCTGACAGCGAATTCAGTTTCTTCCTGGAATGTCAGTCAACTGTGCCCATTCTAAACGTTGGCTAAGGCGCTTCCGGCTGCTTTTGTAGCTTCTATCTGCGGGGGCGGACCTGTCCGCACCCTCCTCATCGCTATCCAGGTGAACCTCCGGGAGGGCCATTGGCAAACAGCAAGCTGTGACAGATCTAAAGCCTTGCTTCCAGGACGTCTCTCCTGAAAAGGACGTCACCTCTCATGCTTCTCAAAAAGTGGCCAGGCATTCCGTTTCATGCGAAGCACACAAACGTCCACAACAACACCCCAGCATGCAATCATGCTTATCTCTGCTTACCTCCTTCCACAGGTACACACCTCGCCATTCGCATGCCACTACATTACACAGCCACGTCGCAGTAGCATGCGTTGCACGCAATACTATCATGATCTCCTTCACTGGAATTGAACTTGCAGAAATGGCGCCGTGTCCAAGTCATCCAAAGTGCATGCAGAGCTTCCTTCTGTACGATTGTAGTAAAGCGATACCCGGAGGAAGCAGAGGCAGGGCATGAAACTGTCAACACCAACATAATGCCAACCCTCCACAAGATTCTGTGACTTCAGGAGCTGAGCACTGCCGCAAAGTGGCAAGTTGGCAAGTTGCATGGTTGATTCTGTATAGGGATTCTCTGTCTTCGCCATGGGTCTCACATTCATTCGTTGGGAGGTTGCACCCATTGTGGTAGCTCGCAGATGAAACCGCACACTTAGCACTAAATAACTCGAACTGCAGGATGGCAATGTGAGAGGGAGAGGTAGAGTCAGCATGTTTGTGTCTTTGATTTTTTGTTTTTCTGTGAATGTATATGTATATTCATATGCGTGTATGTGTATATATATATGTATGTCTGTGCTTTCGTCGCATGGTACACGTGTACATTGGCATGTGCAGTGTTAAAGCTAAGCTAGAGTGTTCGTGATGCCGCAACATTGTATTCGCTCAAAGCAGAGCTTGAAACAAGTTGAATCTGGAGCTGAACACTTGGAGTTTGCGCACCGAATTTAAATCCCAGTGCATAAAACTTCGTTTTGCCAACCCTTCGCGATGCTTTTGGTGACAACTTCTGCAAGATGTTCTTTCTTACTAAGGATTACTTCTGCAGCGCTGCCGATGCTCTCTAATTTACTCACCAGCTCGAGGCAAAGCTTCATGGTTGCAAAGCTGCCGAATACAAACGAAACTGCGATCAACAAGTTGAAGGGGAACCCCTGGTGGAACAAGGCCTGTTTTCGTGGAGCTTCGCAGCTCTTTCGCAAAAGTGTTGGATATTGAGGGAAGGCAAGGCAAAGTATCCAAATTGGAATCAACGCTTACTGCATCTTCCTTGTTCGACTGCAGCTCCTGCAACCACCTTTCATGGGCATAACTTGACTTAGGTCCGCCCAGTGTGAAGCCGAGAGATGCGACACCATGCAAGACCACGCTGTTGCGATTCTTTCCTGGACTGAGTTCATGATCTACAAAGGACTTATGGGAGTCCACGCCGCATCTTAGTGTCGACATTCACACGACATTCTAGCGATGAACGTCACACCCAATCCTGTTGCGGCATAACAAGTTGTGCCACACCCACCAACACGCTGGACCTGCCACTGCAGTCTATCTGCTACATCGCAGAGTTTTTTGTCATGAAATGGCGTACGTATCATTGCAGGTCGCTTGTCATCATCCCATATCATTGTGCTTCTCATTTCAGCTCATATTGCATTATGTGCAAATCAGTTCATCTCATGTCATAACAACAATATTCACGCTTAAGGCTCTGCCGGACCTGAAATTCATCTTTCCGGCAACCCAAGTAGCGGGGTGTAGACCTCACGGTCCAGTCCTGACAAGAAGTCGCATGTTCATGTGGCCTCGCCTCATCGTCATCCTGTTCATCATCCGGCTCTTGCTGAGGCTCCTCCTGCTCCTGCTGTGATTTGCCAAAGAACAAGACTCCCACCGCGCTGAAGATCGCTGAAGATTGCATTCCTCTTACACGCGTTTTTTGGTGGGGTTTACATTGCTGGGTGGGAATGGGAAGGTAAACAAAAGCACTCCTTTCAATCTTTGAGAACACCAATTTTGCCACAGCCCTATCGGCTTGCATGTTTGCAGGGTTTGAATCAATTCACACATTGTGCGCCATGTTGCCTCTCTGTCAAGGCCTAGAGTTTGGCCTCGCCAATCCTGCGCATGACATACTGTCTTAGGTTCAAATGTTGAGGTACTTCCTGCCGGTGTGGCGCTGGCGTGTGCCGCCCTTTAGCTCTCCCAGCTAGGGCGAACCCATTGAAGATCTGCAGAGAGTGTAACTCTTCACATGATCGAAACAACACGAACAAGGTGCACTATCGAGATTAGATCCCCCTGGTCACAGGGTCTCCCCTCCTCGGACGCGCTCGGGCACTTGAAATGCGGCACAGATTTGGAGGGCGTCACCGCCAGCATCTTCCCGGAATGGCTCTCCTGGTGAGTGACAGCGCCCCGTCACAGCCGAAATCCACATAGGTCCAAACGCCGCGTTGTGGGATGGATGTTCCAATGAAACGTCCGTTTTGTTCAGACCATTTGCACTGCATGCCTCATCCTGGCTCACGCCTCGGCAATTCGTGAACCGGCAAAAGCTTTACATGGTTTCCGATAGCTTGTGTCCCCAAAACAGGGGAAAACACTCTCGGCTGAACAGGATCAACGTTGGGTAATTGGGGAAGCTGTTCCGCGTCCACGCAAGTGTGGCATCTGTTTACGTGCATAAAACGGACCATTCATCCATAGAAGCCATGAAGCAACTGGCTGCGTAGCATTGGCTAAAAATGAACATTGGTAATGTGGGATTCGGACGGCAACCATGAACAATGCGTAGCAAGAATTGAACATCGCAGGTCAGAGCTGGCCTGCCTGACCTAGCACATCCTCATCTGCTGCTGACGGGATGCCTTGCCAATGCCTTGCGCACGCAGTGCAAGTAGCCGACACCCCGAGCAGAGGCAACAGGACACTCTTGAGGCCACTCTACAGTGCACCTTCTTTCGGCACTCCGCTCCTTCACGGCGGGGCTGACCGCCTTGCCGAGGGCAGCAGAGGAAGCATGCTCTCCAACAAAAGCCAAATTGAAGATCACAGACTTTTGGAAGTACTCGTTGATGTATTTCTAAGCTAGTTATCAAGGATAGGCCGTGCTGTTCTCGGCACGCAGGAGCTGCCGAGTGGGACTGCCAGGCTATGATTGACCTGGTAGCTATGAGTGTTTGTACAAAGTGGTGTTTTGTTGATTTGATATTTTCATCATTCACGCATGGGTCAAAGGATGGAGCCTGCATAGCAACTCGATGCAGCCGCAAGGCAACCCCCTGGATTTGCGGCAGTGCTATTCTGACCCGAGGAATGAAGTCCCGACCCTCGCTTTTGGCACGATCTCGTCATCAGGCTATGCTAGCCTCATGCTGGTCATATACAGTTCCGCTCACATAGTATTTTGGGGAACACAGAAGAGGACCAATATGGACCAATGCAAACGGAGCCTCACTGCAAGTTTATTGAATCAGGCAAGATTCAAGTTCAAACACCTTGCATTCATACCTGTCACAGTGAGCTTCCGCGGCTAAGATCAGCTTTCCGCGCGAATCATTGGATAGGTTTGAGCAAGAGTTGCCTCCCGTCACAGTCGGCAAAACAAACACATTGGGCCAGCCTCGACAATCTTTCAATGTTGTGTGTTCCCTCCACACGCCCCTGCAAAAAGGTGTCCGCCCATACTGGGGAACCATGACTTCCAGAACAGGCGCAAACTCCTGGCCTTAGGCTTGCCTGTCATGCCAGTCATTTGGGGTAGCCCCGTGAACCGTGCAAAAACAGATACGAGGACTGCAGACTTGGAACGCCTTACCGCTTGACCTCGAAAACCCACATATTATACGTAGAGACTACAAAGGCGCAGCCGATTTGCTGCGAAACCAATTATCCATCAAGAAACGTGCCCTTTCAGTCCATGCAGACTCTGCGAACATAAGACACTCAAAACGGAAGTGAAAAGGCTTCAAGTAGAGCTGCCAACCCCAATTCAAAAGCTAGCAGTCTCTGAGCTCCCGCCTCCTTCGCAGTGCTGCTGAGGTTGCCGCTGCCCAAGTTGCCGCCGCTGCCGAGGTTGCCGTTACTGTTGCTGTCCACTCTCGAGTTCGATGTTCGCTGGGAGCGGCGGCGCTCCATCTGCAAGCCCTGCGCGGTCTGCGCCTGGCTTGCAAACCACTGCATAGCCTCGCTTCCCTTGTCAAGACATGTCACCGTGGCAAACCCTGCGCCCGGAAAGGACAGAAACAACTACTTGCCGCCGCAAGTGGATGCCAAAGCTCAGTCATCGGATCGCTTTCCCTACAACACTTGACAGGGGGCGTTGCTTTATTACCCGATGTTCTAAGCTTGCTAGCTAAATTGCTGCATTCAAGGATCGCGCTGACAACAAACCTTTTCGCATTGCTGCACACAGGTGCAACACCATGAGTCTGCTTGTTGCTTCAGACTGTCAATGTGCTGTGTATGTGTGTGTGTGTGTGCATGCGGCTGCACAAGAGGCCTCAAACAACAACAACAACAACAACAACAACAACAACAACAACAACAACAACAACAACAACAACAACAACAACAACAACAACAACAACAACAACACCAACACCAACACCAACACCGACGACGACGACGACGACGACGACGACGACGACGACGACGACGACGACCACGACAACGACAACGACAACGACAACGACAACGACAACGACAACGACAACGACAACGACAACGACAACGACAACGACAACACCAACACCAACACCAACAACACCAACACCAACACCAACACCAACACCAACACCAACACCAACACCAACACCAACACCAACACCAACACCAACACCAACACAACAACAACAACAACAACAACAACAACAACAACAACAACAACAACAACAACAACAACAACAACAACAACAACAACAACAACAACAACAACAACAACAACAACAACAACAACAAACAACAACAACAACAACAACAACAACAACAACAACAACAACAACAACAACAACAACAACAACAACAACAACAACAACAACAACAACAACAACAACAACAACAACAACAACAACAACAACAACAACAACAACAACAACAACAACAACAACAACAACAACAACAACAACAACAACAACAACAACAACAACAACAACAACAACAACAGCAAACAACAACAACAACAACAACAACAACAACAGCAACAGCAACAGCAACAGCAACAACAACAGCAACAAGAACAAGAACAAGAACAAGAACAAGAACAAGAACAAGAACAAGAACAAGAACAAGAACAAGAACAAGAACAAGAACAAGAACAAGAACAAGAACAAGAACAAGAACAAGAACAAGAACAAGAACAACAACAACAACAACAGCACAGCAACAGCAACACAAACACGACAACAACAAACAGCAACAGCAACAGCAACAGCAACAGCAACAGCAACAGCAACAGCAACAGCAACAGCAACAGCAACAGCAACAGCAACAACAACAACCACCACCACCACCACCACGACGACGACGACGATGACGACAACGACAACGACAACGACAACGACGACGACGACGACGACGACGACGACGACGACGACAACAACAACAACAACAACAACAACAACAGTATTCACCGAGTTAATTCTCACTCTGTCATACAAAACCCACGAGGGGCCTGCCCGAATCCTATTCCTAATCTGCGGAACCTCTTTGTCCAGTACCCTGTGAAGGTCAAACAGTTCGTATGAGCCTCAAGGTTGTGGACGGCCAGCAACAGCTTAGACAACTTAGGGGCTTGTCGCGAGCCACAACATGTCTCCCTTACCCAAGCAAAGTGCAAACAAGTGTGAGCTAGGATTTGGATGTCTGATTCTCCTGTTTGATGCAGCATAATCAGCCACCCGTTCATTGGACTTGGTCGGCAATGAGCAACGCCGCTACAATAGAACCCTAGTAGACACAAAATCGGCAAACACTCGCATAAGCACTGTTTGACTTCTTGCAAGGAAAGCGTGGTAAACAAAAACCACTGATTTCCTCTACTGAGTGTAGCATAGTGACCAATCTAATACACAAAGAACAGGCGCAATATGGCGATCAGTTCATGTGCTGACTCCGGACGGTTGGCCAAACGAGTCTTGAGCTTGAGGTGAGCCATTGGCAATGAGCTACAGCTAGTGATGCCCTGCCTGCAGTCCACGCCTTGTACCTTCCCGGCTTCCCTGTGGAAAAAGAGCTACACAGATATACATAATAGATTTATGATTTGCATTCATGCAGTATTCCCAACACCAACACCTCTTGCAGCTATGGATTCGCCTCCAGCTCGTCCATCACACCATATTTGGTGCCAAGTTTTCTTCCAGCTCCTCGGTTTGCCAAACGGTAGCAGCCCTTGTTCTACGAGTGACATTCTCAACTCAGATACGCTTCAAGGAGCCTGCTTGCAGACGCACGTCTTCTACCAGATCAGCGAGATAGTCAATGGTGAAAGTCAAAGTTCACCAACCACAGTGTGCACCCTGCGCAGCCCATATTTGACGCTGTGGGGCCTGTGAGCAAGGATATGCATGTGGAATCTGGACTGGTCACAAAAGCATTGCTACTACGATGCAAAAGCTTCTTTTTGCTGTCATATTGCCGGCAACATGCAGGGCTTACTGCCATCGTTTGCTCGCGCTACGACCGCTTTCGGCGCAGAATCCCTTGAACGGCTGATGTTAACATGGATTGGTAAATGCCGCCGATTGCTAAGGCTCGCTTTCGGGATCCACTACTAAAAAAAAACAAACTCTGACGCGAGCATCGCGATGCATCCTCAGAGCGGCCACCATGGGCTGTGTGCAATCGAATCGATGGTCTTTAAACAAGTTGCAGACGCCAACAAGCCAAAGTAACCGCAAAAATTCAACTATACATGAATAGATGATGGTTTAACCCGAGCGGAACTAGTGTTCGTGCTTGCTTTGGGCCGGCCACAGGTGTAAGGCGACGTGAGCAGTCCAAAACTTGGGAGGCAAGGGGGCAAAGGGCCTGACCGCTTCGAGAAATGCAGGACAGATTGCGGACTAGTCGCCTTGAAAGGAAAAGAAACACCGATGGAACAAAAGCAAACACATCTTCCCGCACTTACCATGTCCGGGTCGCGGAAGTACTTCTGCCGGTGCTGCTCGAAGCCGCTGGCCGACTTGTTCGGAGGGGCGGGGTCAGAGCTCCGACGGTGATGTCTACCAGCCTCTCTTCGGGCGCCAAATGGAAGCACACAAGGTAACACTCTGACCAAACGTCACAGGCACCGAGGCAAAACCCTATTCACTCCATAATTTCCTCTCAGCTGGGGAAGGGGGTGTTGATATATTGATCTGATTGCTACTTAAGACACACAGCACGCGCACACGCAGGCATTCAGGCATGCAGGCACGAAGTCAGGCTGGCAAGCAGGCGGGCAGGCTTGCAGGCACGCGCGCGAGCAGGCACAAACACGCACACACACACACACACACCCACACCCACACCCAACCCACACCCACACCCACACCCGTGCCCTGCTCTTGCAAACAAATACACTTCTTCAAACTAACAGTTGCTCTTCTATCAACTGCTCTAAAACTGGCATGGCAAAGTGGCAGGCTCTCAGCATTTCTTTCTGCTAGAGCCGAAGACTTTGTATACCCCTCCAGGTGAGTGACATTTTCCAGCTTGATGCCTGCAAACCGCTTAGCATCCCGCTCAGGTGGCTGGCGCTTTGGTCTTAGACTAAGATCAACATCTTTCGGCTTTGTCAAAAGTGCTGCCGGCCTGTTCCTGAAGCTTGCTTGCATCTAACTTCATGCGGTTTGCCTATTGCACTCCTTCAAGCTATTTTTTGTTTGAGCAAAGAGCAACAAATGCTAATCCACTGGTTTGACGCCTGTTGAAGGACCCTGTGGGCCATATTTCTTGTGTTTGCATGGCTGATTGCACGCTGCACCAAAACGATTCTGGCACAGGTGTGTCTTTTTCCAGCCCACATTCTGGCAGTGCCATGCCCCGGGTGGCACCTTGCGCGACTCGTGTCGCATCGACTGCGAGCCAGCTTGGGGCTTGTGATCGTGGAGGGTGTCGATGCTCCCGCCGCGATTGGAACCTCAGAAGCCGCGTTAAGGCCAATCTCGTGGATGTGAAATCCAAACATGAAAGGCAGCTCAAACAACCGCGGACTCTGGTAAATATAGGGACGTAGCTCTCTTGCAACATTACCGCCAAATACTTTGCAGAAACGACAGTAAACGGCAACAAGTTCGGGCATCTCGACAGCACATGAATCTGGACTCGACATTCTGAAATACAATGCTTCATCCGCAACGGAACAGAAGATCCTCTTCTCTTGACCAACTTAGGTAGTTGAGTTTGGTTTCTTAGGAGCCAAATATCCTCGTCTTCGGAGAACTGTCTGAGCTACTGCTGCATTGAGGATAAAATACAAAAACATGGTCTCAAGTGGCATGGTCTCGAGTGGAAGAGCAACAGTTGCCAGCAGTCAAAAAGCTTCATACAGACTCCAGGACTCCTGCTTCTGGACCGAAAAAAGGGCAATCATGTCCACTTGGAATTAATGCCCCGCAAAATGTGATCATGTTCTGCCAACACAATTCCCACACCCTGTAAATAATCAAGCAGTCGATTGCCCGCCCAACCCCCCCCAACCAACATGTTCGAAATACTGAGAACAATGCAAACAAAAGAGTAACAGCGAGCAAAACACACGGCCACATGTTCTTCGTGTTTCTTCAGCAAGTGCTGTCGGCATGTTCCGGTATGTATACATGAAGCAACTCAAGTAATTACATCGTGAACTGCCAGCAAAATAAAGAACAATGTGTATTTCTGGGAATGTGAAATGGCTATCCTCCTCCTCCTCCTCCTCCTCCTCCTTCTCCTTATCCTCACCAACATCACCGCCTTCATCATAAGGGCTATTGTTGGCTGAGCGCAGTTTTCGCGCTAACGTCAAACAACCCTTCTTTCATACCTGCCGGTGGGTGTGGCCCAGGCACGGCGTTTGGCAATGTCCTCTTTGACCTCTTGGTCCGAGAGGGACGCTTGGCCCGGAATGTTGGGCGCGTCCTCCTGGAATCGTGTGGGGAGTCATTTTGCTTAGTATTTGCGTAGTTTGCGCCTCAGCCCACCAATGCTAAGCCACCCTAAATCCTCAAGAATTCCCCAAACACGTGCTTCCCCAAAGTGCACTTGTCTCGAAAAAAATTGAATTGACAAGGTGTTCAAGCTCACAGACAAGACCCATTCTTTGAGGCCAGCCACAAGTCAACCTTTAATACGTTCCTTTTTCTCCTTGTAGCCAACTTTACGCAGACAGCCTCATGCCCACATGGACTCCCCGCATATATACCGACACACACACCCACATTACAGGTACGTCTAGACGCCCTCATATGACAGTTGTCCCTGTCCGCAAAAAGGTGGGCTGTCAGTTGTCCGGAAACCGCCATCTTCGCGTGAAAAATAGTTTTCGCGAACCCCGTCGCGGACTGTGTTGCGGAGCTGTTTTCACAATGTTCATTCAACAAAAAATACACGAAGTACACTTCCGCAGCCCCAGCTCGAAAGTCGTAACTTTTCAATACGAAAGTGGCACACGAAGGACGCTTCCGCAGCCCTTCGCTTGAAAGGCAAAACTTTTCAATACGAAAGTAATACATAGACTAAGTGAACTATATCCGCAGCCCCAGCTCGAACGTCGTAACTTTTCAATACGAAAGTGGCACACGAAGCAAATTTCCGCTGCCCAGATAGAAAGTCGCAGCCTCTCATGTCTTGACACAACCCTAGCAACAACGAGCTGCAGGCGCCGCAGATGCGCCACGCAAGATTCCGCATGAGGCCAGTGCTAGCCTCATGCGCCCCATAAGAGTGAGCTTTCAACAGGACAACCCCATTTCGAGAGTCGCAACTGAAAGCAATACAAAAGCAAGACGCGAAGTAAACACCGCAGCTATCCGCAGCTCCAGTTCACAAGGTGCGCAGTAGGGGACCCGTTGGCCGCGCATGTCCGGAAACTGGCGGGGAGGTCCATCCTTTCGCAAAGCTTTCGCTGATCTTGCGTCTAACACTCGCGAAAATCCGGCTGGAAGGCTGCGCTCAACTTGGCCCCGAAAATCTCAAAACTCCCACAAGCTGATTTCTGCCGGGGGTTACTGTTGCAGCGACGTATTCTCGCGGCAGCACGCGCTGCCGGCAAATACACGTGGTTCATCATTCCAGTGTTGGCAAGCCACCCTTGCACAAAAACCTCGCAAAACACCCTTTGCGGAACTTTCGCGGAGGTCGACGCTAAGACCACAAGGTCTTCGCCTTCGTATCTCAATACAAGGACCTTTCGGACGACTCTCATGTGAGCAGTAGGCAGTAGCCATGCATTCTCAAAGTCCGGCCATGTTCCTGTTCCTCTCAAGCCTTCCATGAGTTGCGACAGGGCCCATGGAAGCGCATCATCGTTCATCAACGGATTTGAAAGGGGTCGGCGCAAGAAAAAAAATGTGCGGACAATTTCATCAAAGACACGCCTTTCTTGGAAGGACGTATACTTGGCTTCGGGGGTTAAGCCAATGAAGCGCATCTTCGAGGTTTGAAGGTGCCATGCCCAACCCAGTACATTCGTTTCCCACCCTGAAATACCAAAACTACATACGAGTACCAAAGAAAACTCCTCGCGCCCTTGTTCCCTACCAGCTGATGCCACGTCTCACCCCTGTCCCTCACGAAATGCGTCCGAGTCGGCACAACCCAGCCCTCGCCACCCGTCCAGAGACATGGAGAGGTGTGTGCCAAGCACCTGGCAGAGTGCAAGGAGCGTAGCTTCAATGAGAATGTTGTTAAGAAAAGGCCAGACTCGCAGCTTTGGGTGGTTCGATTGCCCTCTCGAATTGCCCTACATGAGTATTCATATGGACGAGCCTTGTTTGTGGTACGCAAGGCGCGCAATGCTCATGCAGCTGTTTCTCCGTATCCTGCCACGTGATCCGGGACAAGCGTGGTTTCTCAGGATGGCGCCCAGATTTGACAGGCCTGCGCTGTGCTTGGCTCTTGGCGTGACCCGCGTGAATTTGGGCAACGCCGCGGCCATGCAAGGTACTCATCTCAATCATCTTTGTTGCTTGCGTGCCTAGCAAAGCAACCCAGCAGTAGTCAGTAGTCACGTTTGTGTGGAAATGGCAGGCCTTTCCTCAGATCGTGGCATCCGCATGCGCAATGTTTGAACTTTAACGTTGTTCAAGCAAACCAACAGATTTAAATTGCCCAAATGCGAGGTATTGAACAGAGATGACTTCCCTTTGCTCCGTTGAGTTGACTATTGTTGCATACTTTAGCGGCTCACCTATGCTGCGGCACAACATGTAACATGTCTGTAAATGCATCTATGTGTTGATAGATGTACAAACCCTCAACGCCGTTCCCCTCTGCGCGCCAGCAAGGCGGATTGATTGACTCTGATAAGCCATCTCCAAAACAGGGAGCAGCCCCACCCCCGAAGGCCATTAGAGGCGACAAGCGCCACTCGTGTCACAAC